AGATATCAAAAAAGTACTCCAGAGTGTTGTTCAGCATGGGGGTGAGTAGAAAATGAAGGCTAATCATGTTTTGGGTGTACTATTCCTTTAAATAACGAACAAAACTAAAGTGGAGCTGTGGCTCGCGGATACTGCAGGAGGGGGGCGGGGCACCGCCAAATCTCTGACACTCTGTGGGAGAAACACAGGTAAGTGACCACGATCATCTGACTGAAGAGGATGATCTCTGTGAGTCACTTACCTGGTTAAGCAGTTCAGTCCATACCCCCTTGAGGGGGGAGCAATCCAGCCGATGGGCTGACAGCTGACGCGGCTCGCGTCACCCAGAGTGTTACCGGTGCTGCAGCTCCGGAAGAGTTGCAGGAAACCGATCCTAATCAGGGATACAGATCAGGCAGGAACAGAACAGGAGGAAGGATCCAGGCTTCCAGGCAATAACAAGCTCCAGACAGGTTGGAGTCTGACAGAGTTTAGAAGCGTGGCCAGACGGTCACACACAGAAGCAGAAAGGATCAGGTGCAGACAGGCAGACTCAGTGGCAGAGGGTAGCCGAGACAGGACGTGGAACCAGAACTTGATGCAGGACCTTTAAACTGGTCTCCTCCCTGGAGCCAGGCTTACTGACATAAAAACGGATCCTCCCCACACATAGAGCCAAAAACCCAGAGGACTCAGCGGGGGAGGAACAGTGGACGATCAGGAGACGAGACAGACACAAAAAACCCTCTTTCCACTGGCTGCCAGGATCCAGGACATGAACCATGAAATAAAACTGAACAGACAGGCTGACAGAAAACAAATAAACAGACTAACAGAAAGACAAATAATGATCTGGCCCTGAATGCTCAGGCTGAACAGAATATACACCAAATGAAACAGGTGAGAGGAATAAATAATAATTGAGGCAGGGAGGGAAAACGACAGGTAAAAGAAATTACCAATTAAGGAAGGGCAAACAGGCCAGATCATGACAAAAATATTCTGTCATGATTTGTGGACACTAAGATCTAAAGAGAAGCATCATCTCCTGGTCGGACCCTGTAATTCAGTAAAAGGGTGGAATCAGAGTAAAAAATATGCAAGAGGAGGTCACTGCAGTGGCTGGAAGTTGGAGGAGATTCCGCAGGGATTTGGAGGGAAGTGAGCTGCCATTCTGCTGGCGTTTGACTGGGAAGAGTCATTTCGAATGGCTGCTACTGTAGCGCTGTGGATTCATTTTGCTCTGTAGAGCCGTATCTCTTCACAGTGGAAGACGTAGACTGTCTAAAACCCCCCAAAAAAACATGGATACCAAAATAAAGTGATCAATATCTTCTGACACAGCACTTCCTTTTTCATCTGTACATTTACTTTCATGGTTTAGGAAAAAAATGCAATTTATAGTGATATTGCATTATTGTGATAATATCATACTGTGACCCAAGTCCTCTATTATACATTGCATTTAATGAGCGTATAAAATGTTAAACTATTATCTTTCGTAGGAGAGTTTCTGGACATCCTGGCCATCTCTTGTGACAGTTTTGACGAAGAAACCAACCAGATGATCGGCAGAACTCAAGGCAAGAAGAGTCACATCGAGAACCTGTACAAGATCCGCGGCTGGTGCCAGCAGTACAAGGTGGCCTTCAAAATCAATTCAGTTATCAACAGCTTCAACGTTCACGAGGACATGACTGAACACATCAACGAGCTCAACCCTGTGCGCTGGAAGGTAATAACACACCTGGAGCTGAAATAATTCATCCTGATTAATCCATTATTGAGATAATCAACTCATTTAGTAATCGTTAAATGGAGTATAGAGACTGTAAAACAAGCCTTTAGCTACAGAGTGACCCACTTAGAGCAGTGAATTATATTAAAATTGTAAAAAAAAAAATACATATAAACATTTTGCATTTAAGAAAAAAGTTTTATTTTACCCTAGTTTAAGTTTTCTTTACATTTGGCTATCTGATTAATTGACAGATTAATCAATTTGAGAAATAATAATTAGTTGCAGCCCTAAATCAACCTGTGTGGTTCATGATGCATCTGCAGCTAAACGTGGTTCTTATCTCTGCTCAGGTTTTCCAGTGTCTGTTGATCGATGGAGAGAATGCTGGCGAGGCGGCCCTGAGGGAGGCGGAGAAGTTCGTCATCAGTGACCAGCAGTTCCAGGAGTTTCTAGACACGCACCGCGCCGTCTCCTGCCTCGTACCAGAGTCCAACGAGAAGGTATATATTACAGAGGCAGTCCACTGACACTCTTCAGGGCTCAGCTGGACATTTTTATCAACCTCTTCTTTTCTCATCAAATGAGACTGTAAACGGCCGATTAGACCTCTGCATCCGCACACATCAAATGTCGCTTGAGTCTGGTCGCGGACCAGTTTTGCTGGTATGCTAATGTACCGTCGCGTCGGTCTGGAATTTCTAGACACATCTTTGTCAGTGAAGCTGAGTGCTCCCACATCTCTTCCTTCATGGTGCCCATCTACAATAAAATATCCAAAATTCTGAGATTAAAGTCAGAATTCTGAGATTAAAATCCGAATATTGAGACTAAAGTCAGAATTTTGAGATTAAATTCAGAATTCTGAGACTAAAGTCAAAATTCTGAGATTTAAGTCAGAGTTCTGAGATTAAAGTCAGAATTTTGAGATTAAATTCAGAATTCTGAGAAAAAATTCGGAATTCTGAGATTAAAGTCAGAATTCTGAGATTAAAGTCAGAGTTCTGAGATTAAAATCAGAATATTGAGACTAAAGTCAGAATTTTGAGATTAAATTCTGAATATTGAGACTAAAGTCAGAATTTTGAGATTAAATTCAGAATTCTGAGACTAAAGTCAAAATTCTGAGATTTAAGTCAGAGTTCTGAGATTAAAATCCGAATATTGAGACTAAAGTCAGAATTCTAAGATTAAAATCTGAATATTGAGACTAAAGTCAGAATTTTGAGATTAAATTCAGAATTCTGAGACTAAAGTCAAAATTCTGAGATTAAAGTCAGAATTCTGAGATTAAAATCCGAATATTGAGACTAAAGTCAGAATTCTGAGTTTAAATTCAGAATTCTGAGAAAAAATTCAGAATTCTGAGATTAAAGTCAGAATTCTGAGATTAAAGTCAGAGTTCTGAGATTAAAATCAGAATATTGA